GTTAGGGCGGCTAGGAGCTGGAACCAACTTCCAAGGGAAGTGGTGCTGGCCCCTACCCTGGGGGTCTTTAAGAAGAGGCTGGATGCCTACCTGGCTGGACTCATTTGAGTCCCGTTTCTTGTTTTGGGGTTTTGTTGTTCTCCCGCCCTGGCGGGGGGTCGGGCTAGAAGATCTACTAGGTCCCTTCCGACCCTTAATCTATGAATCTATGAATCTATGATTTGTGGAGGTGTGTATTAGTGTGGAGAATATGGTTTCCATTGTAGCAAGAATTCTCTCATATCAAAGCACAGAAAACAATTTCTCTTAAGGGTGATAGGCTTAGGTAAGAATTAAATGTGTTCAATAGAACTGTCTTCAGCAAGGGACTGAAGTCAGAAATTAGTGAAGCCAACTGGTATCTTGGAGCACTGGACGAATGGATTAGTGGGGAGAATTCCATTTTAAAAATGTAATAAAAATAATCTTTAGATCAATACCCTGGACTGCATAGTCATGCATACATTCTACTGCTGGAGCTAGAAAAGCAAATGGCTTAGTTCAGGTATTGTCAATGTGTATTACACCTAACTAGCCTTTGGTTCCTTAGGGAAACTAGAGCAAGTTTTATGTCTCAGTGGGTGTATCTGCACATGAAAGTAATGTGATACAATAAACTCTGGAGCAGTTTGAGCCAGAGTAAACTGTCCCCAGGTGCTGTATCTACATGAGCACCTGAGACAGCAGCAATTTGAGTTGGGGTGGAGCAGGTCCCTAGCTGGCTGGGCTGACTGGGCACAATTTATGACCCTGATCACTGTCTACACATCTGTTTCAGTGCAGTCAAGTACTCCACCATAAGATAGTACTGTTCCCAAGAGTACTCTCTTACGGCAGAGTTAGTTTACTACGGCCTAATACCAGCACACATGTAGATGGTGACACTTTATTGTGGGGTTAATCAGCATACTCCACAGTAACCTGCACACTTAGATGCACCTAGTATGTACATACAAGTCAGACCACTTAAAAGGGGGGAAAAATGTATCTGTCACCTGTGCCTTTATGCTATGGTGAGCTACCTACGGAAACCCTTCAGGGAAATATTTTATGGGTTAGGAGCTATGGATGGCCATCTTTTGCCTACTACTGAGAAACCACTTCATTGTTATGAATGAAATGCTTTTTCTATTGTTAAGAGTTCAAACATGTCTAATACTACCTACCAATTATCAAATGCTGGTGCTGTGCTTAATATCCTAAACTACACAGGAAAAATATCCTTATCTTCATGATCTCACAATGTAGCTGTATAGATAATGTGCAATGCATGAGAGAGAATCTTTAGCTAGGAACAGATGTTGCATTTGTCCCTAGAAAAGTTGTGCCTATGTTTGTCCTGGAACAGAAATGTCCCAGGATTTTTGTCTATACACTTCATCATTCTACTCAGGGTTTAGTGAGTGGCTGAACATGCTCCTACTTTTATGCTACTTATTCAATGATACAATCTCAGGATAACCATTCAGATGCACTTTGCAATGTCCTGGGATAAACTGTTAGTACTACTTAACCCATAAACCTTTTTAGGATTTATGCCGGGACAACACTCATGGACGTCTGAGTGATTGCAGTTTATCCAAAGAGAAAATGGTTTATCCCAGAATAAATGCAATGTTTGCTTCTAGCCTCTCTTTGAAATGTTATATGGTTTTCTTTCTATCAAGCTCCCTGTTTCAAAGAACTAAGAATCATATCTTCTGTGAAGAACCTCCTATGTTCAAGCATGCTCAAATGAAACAACTATTTCCTAATCTATTCTCCTGTTTTGCCTCTTTTGCTCAGTTGTTATGAAATTACCATGAATCATGAAGTTCTTGATCATGTTAAATCTGACATCTGTCAAAGGAAGCTAGGGAAAAATCAATCTGACAAATGTGTTGGACTTAAGGGGATTATTGCCCGGGTCAACTATTGTGATATTATTATAATAGACAAATGTCCAATCAAACATATTTTGAGGGGAGGGCACCTAGCTAAGGTTTTGGATGCCCCTGCTTTGTTATAAAACCACACCACTCTTGGAAGACCCATTGCTTTCCCTGGCCACGCATCTGATTGCTTCCTCAAAAGCAAGTCCTTTCAAATCTGCCTGAATCTCAGCATTCCTCTACGGTCAGTAAATATCAGTGAAATGCACAGCAATGTTTTTGTCTCATCCTTCTGGTGCTGCTCCATACAGAGGTCAGTGAAGACACCCAAGTTACAAATTGGCCTGGCTGGGTTTTACTGTTACAGCTACACTTCTATCAGTGCTTGAGTTAGCTCTCTTAAAAGTGGCTTGAATGTATTTAAGTAAGGTGGAGTCATACCTTGGGACTGCAGTGTAGATACATAAACAAAACTCCAC